CGTACAATGCACTCCGAGGAAGCTGGTCGACGGGCATACAGAGGACATGGCCTAGCCAACGTAAGCGATTAAGATTCTGTAAACACTCGAATGAGGAACCAGGTTTCTTACCAAAAACCAACTGGCGGATCTCAGCATTGCTCACTCGGTGTTCGCACCAAGCGTGAGAAATACTCCGCAAGCACCGGCGATCAAACACGGCCAAATGTTTAATGTTTTCGCCGCGAACTAGATAGGTCACTGACCCATACAGTAAGACCAGCCCTACCGCAGCGTTGTACACCTTGTTTTGCACTGACAGGCAAATATACCGCCGTCACCATAGATGGTTAAGTCTCTGGAAAAAACATCGGCTTTGATGATAAGCGAAGTAACTTCTTCAGTGAGGCGAACACCAACTTCTAGGATGCATTAATCTCAAATCTCCAGATCACTTCATGCTCAGACGCTGAAACACACTGGGCACACAGCTGCAATGCCATGAAAAACTCTGGTCTGTGGTTTTAATAATAGTTCTGCCAACCACTGGATCTCTACACGATCTCTCCAAGTTCTCGAAGCTCGTCGAGTAATTTCCGCTGGCGTTGGGTACCATTCACTGCGCAAGACCACCAACATTTAACTCAAACAGCTCCTCCGGGAGGATTGGGGGTCTGGTGGACACAGCAAGCCATTGAGATGGAGCAAGCGGCTAGCTCGGAGAATTTCCGGAAGCTTTTCCTCCTTATCCGATCTAGTGAGCGCGAAAGGCAGACTGTAGGCGACGTTTTGTAGGAAACCAATGGCGAGATAATCCACAGTCAACAACGTCGCTTTGTGCGTTGGACCGAGCATTTTGAACAGCAGTTTGATCGGTCAGCAGCACCGCCGAATACTCGCTCAGTAATCCAGTATGCTGACTGGTGTGTAGACACTTGACTACCATCTGAGGCAGAGATTGCTTATGAGCTTCGCTTCCTAAAGCGCTGCAAGGCGCCCTGGCCCAGATGAACTCCCACCGGCTCTTTCCAAAGATGGAAATTCATCACTTATTAGGGAGTTAACTTCCCTCATCAAAGCAATCCCGTCTGATTTGAGCATAGCGGATATCGTGTCCGTCTTCAAAAAGGGTGTCCGGTTAGACTGCACCTACTACTGAAGGATCAGTCTCATTTGCGTTGCATCCACCACACTGCTTTTAAGGATGCGCAGGCTAGTACGCGAACAGAACCTATGCGAAGAGAAAGTGGGTTCCGCTCTGACTAGAGTTATACCAATCACAGCTCAACGTTCCGTCAAATACTCAAACATTGTCAAACTTTCGGCCGGTCAACGAACGTTACCTTCTTGGACATACGAGCTGCATCTGACTCGGGTGACAGAGCTGCTCTCTGGCATTGTCTGGTAATACCAGAAAACTTCCACCTCAGCCGAGTCATTGAAAAGTTCCGATCTGGAGTAAGCGAAACAATCTGCGAAGAGGATGGTTCCCTAATCACAAATCTTCAACGACAGTTGGTGCGATGGACCGAACATTTTCGCTCGCAGTTTTCCTGAATGCCAGCTCAATCTGTCTCTCCTGCGCTGCACAATGGTGATGAGTGGACTGTCCCAACTTATCCTCCTTCTCACCAAGAAATCTGGCGGATACTGTGTCGCCTAAAGCGTTATAAGGCACTCGACCCTGATGGTCTACCTCCTGCTCCATTGAAAGATGAGGGCTATCCGCTGATTCGAGAACTCACCGCTTTGTTCTCCGTATTCTGGGCAAAAGAGAAGGTCCCATCATCCTGCAGTGAGTCGATAGTCGTCTCCAACTTCAAAAAGGATGTGCGAACAATGTGCTCCAATTACAGGGGCATAAGTTTGATTTCCGTCGTTTGCAAGATTCTGGTCCCCATCATTATTCACAGATTATCCCCAAGGCGTGAATTATTACAGCGAGAAGAACAAGCTGGGTTCCGCCCTAGTCGCGGCTGCATCTATTAGATTTTCACACTCCGCCAGATTCTCGAGCTTCGCCAAGTGTAGCAAAAGTCAACGATTGTTGTGTTCCTGGATATCCGTGCTGCCTTCGTTTCTGTCAACAGGGCTGCATTGTGGCACTGTTTGCTGAGGAATGGTACTCTCGGGAAGTACGTTTCCGTACTGTGTGCTCGGCATAGTCTTATATCGCGTCGTGTTAGGTCTTATGGCAAGCTTTCGCCTCTCTTTGTTGTCAACAGTGGGGTTTGGCAAAGATGCTCTATCTCTCTACTCCTCTTCAATTTTGCCACTGAGGATGTCCTCAAAATGCACTAGAAGACTTGTTGAACACTGGTGTTGAGCTCATAAAAGGTAGTCGGGTGGTTGATTTGGATTACGCTGATGATATCGTCTTGTTGGGTGATGGACTGCAGGCCGTCCAACTTGCACTTAACCGCCTGGTGACTGAAGCGTCGAAGTATGGCTTGCACTTTCACTATCCAAGTACAAAGCGCTTTTCCAAGCCTGACATATGCCCCTACCTGTACTCACCATCGATGGTAAGAGGCTGGAAGTTGTCGAGTTTTGTCTACCTGGGAAGCTGCATCACTGCTGGTGGAGCTGTTGGAAATGAGATTACGACGTACGTCTCAAGAGCTCCTTTCGCCTTCTCCAGATTGAGGCAGTTATGGCGCCACCATGGCATCCGTCTCTCTATCAAAGGGCGGGTTTATATTGCGGCCATCCGCGCTGTACTGTTGTATGGTTGCGAGACTTGGCCTGACCGCACCGATGACCAGCGTCGACTGTCGGTCTTCGAGAACTGTTGTTTACGGTCCATCGCTCGTGTGTGGTGGCTACACCACGTAACGAAAGTTGAAGTCATACAGCGTGTTTTAGGTGGAGGCAGCCACTCCATCGAGGCGCCTGTCCCGCTGCGCCCACTACGATGGCTTGTAAACGTACTGCGTACGCCCGTTGAGCGTCTTCGGCGTCGTGCCTTGTTCGCGGTAGCTGGGCAGGGCTGGAAGAGGCGGTGTGGTGGACAGATTACAACTTAGAGAAGCGGGATGAAAAAGCTGAGAAAACAGCTGACCTGGGTTGGCTTCTCTCTACTCCCTGGATGGGGTCCTAAAGATGTTGAGTGCCGCTGGTTGGAAACGTTGGAAGTCATGGCTCAAAACCGAAGTGAATGGAGGTCGCGTGTCTCCGCTTGTTGCGATGATCTGCTCCTACCCCTCAATAAAAGAAAAAACCTCAAATCAGAAACGGTGAGTGGGAAAATTGACAAAACGTTGTTCGTTTGTCTTTCTTCTTTTACTCTAAACCTGTGTTTCTATTCCGCCATGATTTCGATGGCACAATAGGTGTACACAGATCATGAGCACCATATATATATATATATATATATATATATATATATATATATATATATATATATATATATATATATATATATATATATGCTCAGAGAACTTGCGGGAAAGGGCAGAGAAGCATCCGGCTAATAGCTGAACTCGACTGGTTGGTGTATACAGGACTGCTTGACTCGATGTTGGTCAACGAACCTATAGCCGTTAGGTTTGTGTGACGATCGATCAGACGACGGTGCTTCGTCTCTACTAGCAAACCGAAGGGTTGTAAGAAACCAGAGCTAACAGCCGGCGTCTGAACATTAGCAACGAGGAAAATCTATGTAAAGGAAGGTTTCAGGTTTAAGTAAACGGATCGCATTGAGACTAAGTGTAACAACCCATCTGCAAATCGGGTGCTAGAAATGAGAGACTAATCGGATTAACCATCGCTCCGTTTCGGACAAAACATCGTAGTCGAGTCCAGGGTGAGAACTTCCGACAGAATCATACGAAAGCCTCAATGCATCAAAGAAAAAACTGTTAGAAGGATTCGGAAAGAACAGCACATCTGCTAAAAAGTAGAACCTACAAGTAACCTTCCGGCAGTCTCCAAATAGAAGTTTGCAGATCGGGAAAAGGGAGGGTTGTCCTGTTCTCCGAACCGGACCTTTATGTTTCAGGCGTTTTGTTACCAAGCTAGGCAACGTTCTCATTGTGGCCATTAAGTCCTGATTCGCGGAGCTTCGCAAACCACTGACTGATCCGAATGACTATTGATCGTTACCTGCTTCGCATGTCAGCCTTCGATTAGTTCACGTGAGTCGGCCGAGTGATCACGTCTTCTCCTTGTCAATCTGGTGCCCATTACTGGCTTAACCTGCAGAGCTTCGTAGGCACTGTCCAGATCCAACTGAGCTGGAAGGTCTCTAAGAATCTCTGCAAATTAAGTCATCAATAGGCATCAGATCGACAAGGAGAAGACGTGATCACTCGGCCGACTCACGTGAACCAATCGACCGCTAAGATGCGAAGCAGGTAGGAATCAGTAGTCTTTCGGATCTGGCAGTGATTTGCGAGGCTCCGCGAATCAAGACTTAATAGCCGCACTGAGCATGTTGCCTAGCTTGAAACATCTGCAACAGAAAGGCCCGGCTCGGAGATCAGGACAACCATCTCACCCACACCCCGAGCTACAGGTATTCTCAATAATTTCCAGAGCTGGAAAAGCCAACGTAAACCCAAGGAGTCAAACTAAGGATCTCGCTTCCTGCGAATGACGTAGTCCGGTGAGGAAACATGGATCCAATGCAAAAAACGAAGACTACATGGATCCTGGGTACTAAATAAGGAGCATACTGATGGTATAGGTTATACATAGAACACTTAATGACCTCAAACGAGACAACCGTGGAAGCGTTCGATAGCGGTGCGAATATGGTTGGCTCCAATTTAGGTGACTGACTCACCGGACAAGCATCAACTTTCATTACCAGCTATTCACAGAACTCCTGTACAAAGGAATGGATTGAGACACCGAGTTTACCGGCTTGCATAAGTTTGTCCTTACGGTCAGAAGGTGCAAATTTCTGTTGGCACGTTTGCTGTAATCGCAATGGCGGTCACCAGTGCAAACATATGACCAGACATCAGCCGAAGAAAGAGACGAAAAATTGTAACCTAACAAGGACAAAATATACTTACGTCTTTTAGCTTCGTTCACTTTATCACTTGCAAGCTTCTCGGCTTGGAGAAGCAGCTGGATGCCATCACCTCTGGATGCCATGCAGCGGACCGGTGCACACGTTGTACGAAAAAATCCGGAGTACGAGCGCGGAGAAATGCAGGGTATAGAATCCCAGTTACGGTTAAAGTTCAGATGAAAATGGGACCAGAACAGTAGGGAGATCGTATGAGTAGTTCAACTCAGAAAATGCCGTTGACCCAGAAAGGATTTTAGCCGATCGAGCTGTTGATGTAAAGTCAAATGAACACGTACGATTCACACCATGGTCAAGCAAACGAGGTGTACGCGTTATGCAGCAGCAGTTCAAGCTACGCAGGTCACATAAATAAAAATAAAATTGGAGGCAAAAGGAAAGCAAGCTAGATTTTGAGCTGCAAATTTGAAGACGTTTAAAGTTAGGATTACACCTTAATTATGGGGCGGAAGACAAAGAGCAGGATATTGTGTTGCAGATCAAAGGTGTCAAAACGATGTTCAAACTCGTACTGTTGGTGCGGGCAGCGTGTTCCAACAGCATAGGACCCTGTGCGATAACCAAAAAGCAGTCACAACCTGGTCAGACCGGCGTTTGTACAACTTCAGTGAATGACCACGAAGAGTTGGCACCCAGTGGGATGGAACAGTCTGGGCCACTTTGACCCGTTAGTATGCGAGAGGAGGGTGACCAGGTCGCCCCGAAGTCGTCTGCCATACATCGAAACCATGTCTGGCTTAAGTGGACTCAAGGTACGGCAGTTTCCTTAATTCAAATACCGTTTTCGTCCTAGACCGTAGGACTCGTTTAGTGGTCCTCCTGTCCCGGACTACGTAGGGGGAAAAGCATGTACGCAATATTCTAAGCACAGCCAAAAATAGTCCAACAAACAGATCAGTCGTTATAATCTCGAATGATCTGCGGATCATCTACGATATGCGGAGCCCATCACGAGTAGCTGCCCTCTAACGTTAACTGGGCTTAAAGCCAGGTGACAGCAAGATACATAAGCCAGCTTGTAGTGGCACCCGTGACTTTTCGTTTCCATCAAACAATAATGTATCTGGGTCATTTAATTGTAATCGCGATGCCGGACATTAGGCAAGATTTATGGTTAGCTACGAAAAAAGGGACCAGTGCCAAATTCCAGCCAAAGCGCTTTGTAAGATCGGCGGAACACTAAGAATATTCACTGTGAACCAGAATTTGAAGTCATTCGCAAACATTAAAAATGGCACTCCTAACTCGCCAGGCAAGTTGTCTAGAAATAAAGTGAAAAGCAGGGGACCAGGGAATGGCCCATGCAGGACACCGCTGAGAACATATTTACGGAAAGATAAGCTGGAACGTACGCGCACACCTTCCCGTTTATAATATCCGAAAGCAGAAAGACTTAATTCAAACTACCAAAGAACTGCAGGTTGTACAACAGGGGACAATTCAGAACTGACAACAACTTTCGAAAAGTCCATATATTTAAGATGTGCAATGCTTTTCCCGGTCGACAGCTTCGGTCCTGTTATAAAGCCCAAAATAAGTTAGGAATGTAAGGGTGACGATTACGAAAGCTATACTGAGGATGCAGTGAACAACCCAAACGCCATTAAATGGCTTTTGATAGCATCTCTCAAACGTCCTGACCAGTACGCTTGTCAAAGCGAACGGTCTATTAACTCTTAGGGAGGTGTTCAGCACCTTTTTAACAGGGCATACAATAGCCTCCTTCTAGTCGGTATGTAGAGAAAAGCTGCGCAGACTTTTCAAACAGTTGTGTAATCCGGCAGTAATAACCATCCGCTAACACATGCAACAAGTTTTGAGGAGTAGAACCCACCCCGGTATCTTTGAAAGGACTCAGCATTGTAAAGCTTGAGCATCTGAGTCCCCGACATTGAAACCTCCAGAAAAGTCTACAGAAACTTTCACTTCCAGTTTGATATACGGCAATTAAAACTCGCGAAGAAAACCCTGCACATTGCTCCCCAAGCACATAAGCCATGTCGTGATTAGTTGGATCAGCAGAAGCGTCAGGACTAAAGAGTACCGGAATGTATGAATTCAGACTGTCTCACGTCTTGACACCAACAAAGAAGCCCCTTGGATTGGGTAAGACTGTACGGGGAAGCTAAATTTCATGTATTCAAGAACCTCGCAGATACGCATGCAGGAATATCAAACCTCTCGTTAATGTTGTAATCTGCATGTCGAAGGAGTAGACACGTAAGTACGTCAATATCAAGTCCATCTGATAGGCAATTTAAGCGCATCAGAGTCAAATTAGGGTGGCTTTGACTCAGTTTTGTTCCTCCCAGAAAATGGTATGTAAAGTAAAGACAGCTAAATAGAAATTGTCCTAGACTGTTTAAATATTGTCCGCCACCGAAATGACGCAAGCTAAGCATGTGAGCTTTACTTTCATTGCCTGAAAGTCCACATTGTCATCATCAATACACTTTAGTTGAGGATGTGAAAGGTACTTCACCTAATGTGTCGCGAAATAAAAAACCTAAGATACTAAAAATTAGACTGCAAAAAATGTTCAAGCTATATATATATATATTTGTATATATGTAAATATAAATATATATGTGGGTGCGCCACATGCTGAGGCTGATGTTGCATTCATGATGCTTCTCCACCGCAGTTTGGCAAAATCAACTTACACTTAAATAGTCTTTTTAAGCTGGGTAAATTTCATACCACTTTAATTGGTTTGTTCTGCCTATGTAAGTAATCTTCTATTAACTTGCACACGTTGCTTACGCTAATTGCGCTTATCTTCGTTAACTTCTTTGCGTTTGTAACATTTTTGAGTAACTTTTGGACATTTTGTACTTATCGCGGATTCACTGCTAACCAATTTACTGCATATGCTGACTTAGCGAAGAGTTATGTCTGTATTGCCGTAGGATTTAATAGATATACTTTATTTGATAATGTTATTTCAAGTGATTGGATGTTGCTTGATATCCCCGGTGTGGCTGCGCTTGATGTGCATGTTGACAAGGTGCCTATCTGTCTATTACCCACTAGCTCTTCCATACTGACTCCAGGAGACAGTTGGTCGTTGCTAGAGGGGACGGGGTGCACGGTCCTTGTGGCTGTGCTACGCTCGCTGAATAGCTTCGGAACCCGCAGGAACATCGACAATGTTCCACAGCTTCAGATCATCAGCAAATAGCAGCGATGGTACCTCAAGCTCCGCAGGTAGGTCACTCACATAGAGAGCAGCAGCAGTCCAAGGACCGAGCCCTGCGGCACGCCACTGAGGAAAGACTGACTAAACGATATGCCACGACCTAACCGTACACATTGTTCACTACCATCCAAGAAGGCAGTTACCCAATGAAGGGCGCGGCCAGATACCCCGTAGGAGGACAGCTTTTGCGCGAGCCTCAAATGGGGTACCTTGACAAATGCTTTCGAAAAGTCGACGAAAAGCACGTCCAGTGCGTGGCCGTTATCCACAGCACCCGCCTAACTTTCGCGAGCCACCAGTAGATTCGTCAGACACGAAAATCCCTTCCGGAATCCGTGTTGTACATGGCTAAGTAGTTTAAACCTACTCAAATGACTCTCCAATGAATCTCTCACCAGTTTCTCGAGAAGTTTGACTAAAAAACTCGTCAGAGTAACTGGCCTGTAATTTGCAAGCAGACTCCTGTCTGCATTTTGGAAGATGGGATAGATGACAGCTTCCTTCCATTCGGAAGGTAATGCACAGTTGTCAAGCGGTTTCTGAAACACCATAGTGAGCGGTCCACTTAGTTCCGCAGCCAACTCATGCAACAGTTTCGAGTGAATTAAATCAGGCCCATAGGCCTTAGAAGGGTTCAGCCTTAGTAACAGCCTACGAACTTCCGTCTCCGCTACAATAAATTCAGATAGTCCTGAACCATCTGGGATCCTGCAAACCAGCTCAACAACTGACAGATGCTTCCCTTGCAAACGCTGCTGCGTATTGCCCACTAAGTACGCAGGCCTTGTCATAGTCCGTATGCGCATGAGTACCGTCATCACGCATCAATATTGGAATTGACACGTTCGAACCGCAGCGCCTTTTGACATATGCGAAGAAGCTTTTTGGATTCTCTGAAGCTTCATCTGCTAACCTTTTCTCAAAATTGAGCTGAGCATTTCTTAGGTGTTGCTTACACCTATTTCTAGCCTTACGGTACCTGTCATAAGTATCGGTGGACGGAGCAACTCGGTAAATCCGCTAACATTTAGACCTCTTTGTGAGCAGATGCCTGCCAGTGGAATCTACCCAGGGCGGCTGTGCTCGTGCCTCATTTCTCCTTGTGACTGGGATGAAGGGAGCAGAGAGCTCTGTGAGAATGGAGTTAAATTTATCTCAGGCAACCTGGACAGTATCATCGCCTGAGATCTCACAATGGAACCCCGAAGCCTTGGCTCTCGTTGATTGATAGTCTGCGTGCCATATGTTCGGGAGAGACTCAACAGTACTCTGGTAGCGTCTAGACAGAGTACAACTGAAGTGCAAACAAACATGATCACTGGAACCCAGTGGAGGTCCGTAAGTAATGTCACCAACAAAATCGAGTGACTTAGCAAATACAAGGTCTAAGATAGACGGTAGTTGGGCGTCCATGTACCTAGTGGGGAGGTCAATGAACTGGTGCAAAGATACTTGGAGCGTAAGCTCAAGCAGATCAGCGCCGAATGTGCCTGACGCTGAGTCGTAAGAAAGATCTGCCCAGCAAATCTCTGGGAGGTTGAAGTCGCCCATCACCAAACACTTATTTGCGAATGAATTCAAGTTCCGCTTTGGATACGCTCCCATGGCTTCTATACACAATTACAACTGTAACCTGAGCCGAGTCTGCTGACTGAAATAAGCAAGTCTTTAAAATGTCAAGTTTACAGCTTACATAAAGAGCGATGCCTCCTCCCTGCCGGCCCGCGGAGCGACCATATCTAACTAGTGCGTAGCCAGATAGATGTACTACACCATCTGTGATGTCCTGAGACAACCACGTTTCAGTGAACCCAATTATCGGGATGACACCCATCTACAAGCAGACCTGACTCGTATGCCTTATTCCTTAGGCTGCGCACATTAGTTAGCACTATCTGAAAGTA